CGCAGTCTGCCTCAGTCCCTCAACAGCCTGCGCGGCCCTTGGTAACCCGGGCGACGACCGAGCCGGTATAGTTTTCGATAACGTCAATACCATGAGTGGCAGGTGGTTGAATTTTACGGACTTGCCACGCTCTCCAACTCTGCTCCTTTCTCGTCCGGGCTTGGGACCGGCCATGGCGGAGTTCTTGCATTCAACTTTGAAAAGAAATCTAGAAATTTTCGCATATTTCGTTCAGAGTAATGCATGTCTTTTTGGGTTTTATATTTTTATTTTTCTTTAATTGACAGTTAGATTTTCCCATCATTTTGAGATTAACCAGGTTTCCCTGGACCCATTTGGCATAGCACGAAGCAAAAGAATCGCTAGTACAGAAGACACTGTTGTCCTTCACACCGTAGCATTGGATACCTTACCGAATTTATTACATATGCCTCTTTCTGTTTTTTCCTTCCTGATAGGCGATTTCAATATGCCCCTGTCACAGTGTAATTTCCCTCTGTTCTAGTCAGTTTCTACTATCACTTTCTTGATTCACACGGCGAAATCACACAGTTCTTACTCTTATCAACATAGCGGACTGCTTAAGCAGACGATTGCCCTGTGGTATTTTAGCATCTGCAGTGCATAATCACAAAACTGTACCACTGTCTTGTGTCGAACAATAACCAGTTCGAACACCAAAGGATATACCTTGTCTAGTAAGCATACATAAGAAATTAACCCGGGTATTACGGATTTACTTTATTAACGAACTGCTAGTTTTCCACACCGCCGGTAAGAAGAACAATCACTTGCCTTCGGCGCAGTAAACAGTCTCCGACGCTGTTACGATACGGTACTACTGCGCCATGTGACGGATGAGAAGTGACAGGATATTGAAAATCAGTGGAACGGTTGTATTCAAATGTCAGTACAATGCATTCGTGTGGCCGCACCCACAGACGGACTGTTTTGCGCTTGATTTACAGCTGTATGAAAGCGTGCATAAGACTTCGATACAGACTTCGGCTTTCTGCCATTTTCAGCAGTCTTGATCCAGAAAAGTTCTTCAGTCCATCCTGCCATGAAAGATCTTTCTACGGGGCGTATCATTTATCTAGGAACCGAGTCAAACATATAACTGGTCCAGCGACTGTAAGCGCTTCCTGTAATGTTTCCCTACATAATTCCAAGGTGCTGAACAATAACTGATCCAAAAACCTCTCTGGTCACTTACTCATCAGTACTATGCTTCTAAAACGTGAAACAACATTTAAACGACTACAGATATGGTAAATATCCTAATTCGATCATGCCATTTTTTCACGAATTAAAGCTAAGATTTACCACCACTTTCGATTTTTATTTCGTCAGTGGCCAAACGAAAGCCTGCTAAAGGAAGGAGTTAATATGCTAAATAAAAATACTTTAAATGACTACAACTACTATAAAGTGAGAATAAATTTTAATTTTTGCACTAAACTCCATAATATATTAACAGCTTCGTTTTCAGTGCATTCCAATGAAATTTAAATTTTCTGTTTATGATTTAGAAAATATGAGTGTGGGTACAATACTATCTTTTTGTTTATTCAAACGTTCAGGTTTGCGGCACGGAAGACGTCACAAGAGTTCTAGCAAGCAACAATTCTTATTCCCACGCAATTCCACTATTATTTTTGAACAGTCTGGATGATGGCTTCCTTGCTGCGAGCCGAAAAGTCAAAATAAATAGCAAGATTGTTGCTAAGGCTGCTGTGTTGTTGAAAGCGTATTAACTACTGTGTCTTACATTGAGCGTAGCGGTGCATACATAACAGCAATCCTGTCCGTTAGACTTAAAACTAACTAGTAGATCTGGCTCATATTCGCCAACAAATTTTTCGCTGTATGTTACAGACCTTCCATATGATCACGCAGTCTGTTCAATGCTACTTGCCACTTATTACAACACCTGATTTCTGCTGACAAGAAAGTACCAGATTGTGACACTAATACCTCATCTGACATGTCTTGGAGTTGATGGAGATATAGTTCACAATAGGTTCAACATTGTCTGTCTTCGACGACAATCCCTAGTGAACGGAATCGGTCTACTTCTTGGACTGCATGGGTGAATATAGCCGACTGCGTAAAACAGAAACGTAAAGGCACTAAGCATGTTGATGGCCCTCAAGGTTGCATATTAAGTCAGAGTTATAATGCAGCCAAATATCAAGATGGACATTCACAACTTATATATTCATTGAAACGGCTACGAGGTCACAGCCACGTTGTCGGCAGAGGTTCGCGCGTCAGCGGTGAAGTATATTACCACAGGATTCACACAGAGTTAAGTTCACACAGTCCGAACCTAGTTTAATACTGACCATTCATGATGATCCAGGTGAATGTCTAGAGAATCCTCAGTTGGAGACGGAATCAGTCAGAGTCGAGGACATCCTTGTTGATAAATCGAAGTGTTACCGCTGCCGGATTTTTTGATGTGCTAGCAGTGCCACTAGTGCATTATGCCATTCTTTCAACAATACCGCCCATCATTATGGAGCGTGATTTTTGCAGAAGGCAGCCCATCAGGTAGATATGGGTAAAATCTGCAAGTAGCAAACAATATAAAATTGCATTGTTCTCAGAAGCTAATTTTTAAACCCAGACTTTCAGGGCAGAGCAAATGCTCAGGACAGCATCTTTTATAACTATACCCTGCTTGTCATGTATCTAAGCAGTTCTGTAGCGTGTCGCAGACAGGAAGAAATGTTAAGCCTAGAGTCCTCGTTTTCTTCTAGGCCAATTTGTTGTCCATGTATTTAGTGCTCAGCGCAACAACCTTTTATGCTGGGTTAAAATATAAGATCTTCGGCTGGGAATGAGTATGAACAAATCTCTACCCCTTAGTTCGACGAGACTATAAATTATGAAACAAAAAGTCATACCGTCGGCTGCGCATTTAATGCTCACCAATACAGGGACCCTAAACAATCAGTCATCCTTGCAGAACATGCCTGCATCATAGTATAAGTCAATAACTTAGTTTACTATCAAGAAGCCAGAATCAAGTAAAGCCACAAACCTAAGTCTTCCTTCTTCTGTTGCTTCACAACGCTGCTGATCTCCTCTAAATAGTTTTCAGCGAAGCGTAGCTGACTACCGCACAGTTCGTAGCAGAGGCCAAACCTTTCAACATCGATCAAATTTGAGTCAGTGTTGATACTGTTCGCAAGATCGACCAGGCTATGATTAAAAACAAAGGAAATAATAGAATGCCTATGAACATCAAACAGAAGAATGCTACCTCTGCTGGGCAACCTCCACGTGGCACAAAATCTTTCCCAAAACCGTTTTTAGGTATGTCGCAGAGTTAGGTAATCCGAAGTGATGGGAAAGTCGACTGGTCTTCGAATCAGACAAATTCTGCACGAACAGCTTGTTTAAATTACTCTTCTGAAGCCATGCGGCGGAGAGTGACTGACACAGAACTGACATTTCAAGGCTATTTGTCAAAATCAGTCGAAAAAACCACCATGGTGACAAAGAGAGGATTTTCAAAATCTCTGAACCAAGTAAAGAGGCGACTTTAAATAAATTCTAAACGACAAGGCATAAATAAATACAACCAGATAACCAAACAAAATAATGAGGCATATAGGTAAGACATAATAAACAGACTTTTAAGTGGTTCTGGACACAAAGAAACAGGCAGACGGAAATATTTATTAAAACCGTTTACATTTCAGTTAAACTACATAGGCCATCTACCGAAGAATCACATAAGAGTGACTGAGGTTAAATCAGTAACCTTCTCTTATGTTCAGAGATCACTGTTTTCGGAATGATGATCGCCATTTCGACTCTCTCTCTACAACTCGTTTTAAAGACTTGCATCAGTGGTTTCCATATTCTTAACTGTACCGCGGATGACCAAGGCGTGCTATTTGACCGCTTGAAAGGAACTGAGAAAAGATTATTTTTTTATGGATAAAAGAAACTTTTTGCTCGATGTTGAGAAGTACATTACAAGTGAATACATCGTAAGTAGCTAAAATCTGTTTATTTCCGTCACAACGAAGGAAAAAAAGGGTCAGAAACTGAGTGGATGTCGAATGTCATTTCATCAGTGGGTATTCTTCCAGCTTATAATATAGTGCAGACATCAGTTTCAATACCCAGAACAAAGGATGCCTTATTTTCTTTCTGAAAGTAGTAACCATAAATAACTCGGTCACCAGGGTTAGTCTCACCTTTCCTTCTCACCAAATTGTGCTGATTTATCTATATAGTAAATTTAGTGGATTTACCTAGATTCGCAAACGTAATTTTCCGAGAATGACTCAGGGCTACAACTGACAGAGCTACCTCAGCGGCCATCACCCTCGACACCAGCAACCCTTTCAATTACCGCAATCAATGCAAATCCTAAAACTGGTTCAGTAATTTGAACGTATACCTTCAATGACACGAAACTAGTACTGTCTTTAGTCAATTCATCTAGGTAATGAGTAACAGCATCGGTATCCAGAAACATAAATTCCAATAGGTCGATCTCCTTTTCATCGGAAGTGTAAGACGACCTGCAAAAAGCATTTTTAACGCTTCACCATTACAATTGTATAGTAAAATCTTAAAAATGTATGTAAAATTGTTTATTTATACAAAAGGAAGTTAATAGGTTAGTCAATGAGTAACTGAGCAGTACCGATGTTTCGTCTTAAAGCCTCGTCTCTAAAGACCTAAAGTCTGGCCCTCTGTCGCCACAACACCTACGGATCACAACCAACTGCAGAAGTCACTGAGACCACCAAAAGAAGGCCCATGAGAAATGAGCCTAAAGGGCAGTACTGGTCACTCATCCAGTTGACTAACTTACTCGTTTGCGTTGTGTATAAATAAATCATTTTATATATTTTTCAGTTTTCAGTAGAAATCAATGCACGAAAAGTTAATTTAATCTTTGAAAACACAGAATATTTCGAGAAATCCCATATTTCAACTGATCTGATAAGAACTTAAAACTTTTCGCTAAGAAGTGATGTAAAGACGGAACAGTGGAAGACCGTTTATATGTTATACAGGAAAGCTTGACAAGCTATTGTCTTTCTAACCTGATAACGGAAATATTCATTTACCACTTTATCATGCCAGGTCATGAAGAAATTTTTTCAGAATGCTCGGTGAGATAAAAGTGAAACGGTCTAAATTGGTATTTTCGCGATTAATAGAAACAGTTTCTAAAAACAAATAAAAATAAAGCTTTTCTGGCAGCACGCCATGTATGTGAAACTAAGAGTAAGCTTACTAATGTTAATTTACCCCTTGTAATGATCGTAGACGAAACGATGCATTCAGCATAACTTCTTAATTATTCAAGAAAATGATTATAAATCCTTGTCTTTTAGATTTTAGTTAGGTTATTGTTCTTCAGCGCAGAGTTTGCTTAACGCATTAAAATCATCATCA